CTGGGATGCACACCAGGAGATGGCATCCAAGAAGAAGGTGAAGACTGGTGCTCCTTTGAAGAAACAAAAGCAAGCCGTCTTTCCCTTTTACTCCACTCTGGAGACAATCTGAGTTAGGGCTGTCTTCCACACCCAGAACCATGCTGATCCAATTCAAATGGATGCTTCAGACTCAGATTGACAAAACTTGTTAACTACTATCATAACCAGAGATGCTAGTTCATATAAAGAAGAAAAACTATATAGTACTATGTTTTAGTTTTTCTCTTTGTTTTGGGTACCAGGGATCAAACTTGGAGCCTTGTACTTGAGAGGCAGGCAGTAGTACTCCATCTTTAAGGCTCACCTAATCCAAATGCTCTCCTGGGGCTCAAGAATATATTTTCCCAGTTTCAAGAGCTATCTTTGTGAATTTGTACCTTTTTTCATATTGCTTAAAATCTGTATATTTGGGTTAAGCTAGAAATTTATTTCTTTTTTATTCAGCACTGCCCAGGACTGCAGGGTCTGTATGTACATTTCTGTTTGCCATCCCATTGCTCTTGAGAAGTGCCCTTTCATCATTTCAGACTAATGAAAAGAGAACAGAGTCTGCCTTACCCTATAAACAGTATGTTTACACTAAAGGAAGCAAAATAAATGATGGTCTAATGTAAGAACTAAGAAAGAGAAAGAAAAGTAGTAGAAGAGCAGCAGGCCATCCCATAGCAAGTAAATTTGGGCTGTTTAAACTTGAAATACTCAAGGATTTCAAAGTTGTGACTGCCAATCCCATTTCAGCAAATCATCACAAAACAAGAACACACTAATGTTTATCTGAATTACTAAAATGGGAATTGTGCCTTAATTTACTTTTTTCTTTTTTTGCAATACTAGGAATTGAACTCTGGGCCTTTGCACTAACTACATTCTCATTGTTTTTAAATTTTTATTTTTTAAGCGTGGTGGCGCATGCCTGTAATCCCAGAACTCAGGAGGCTGAGGCAGGAGGATCGCTGTGAGTTCGAGACCAGCTTGGGCTACATAGTGAGTTCCAGGTCAGTCTCAACTACAGTGAGACCCTGTCTCAAAATACAAAACAAAACAAAAAATTAAATAAATAAATAAATAAAATAAATTATTTTTTATTTTGAGATAGGGTCTTGCTAAGTCACTAAGTTGCCCAGGCTGGCTTTGAGCTTGGAATCCTTCTATCTCAGCCCCCCAGAGTGTCAGTTGTTTTTGTTTTTACTAGCTGAATAGGAGCAACAAGCCTAAGGGTTGACACCTACCATGTGGACATACAGTGAAGGACTGAATGACCGTTTGGTCAATGACACACCACATATACAACAGTGGCCCTAAGATTTAATGGTGCTAAAAACTTCCTATCACCTAATGATATGACAGCCATCATAACCACTATAGTGTAATCCCTCACTCATGGTGGTTTACAAACATACTGCACTGCCAGTTGTGTAAGTGTGGTGTGTATAATTATGGGCAATGCACAATATTTAATATTATCATTAGTAAATGACTTACTGGTTTATGTAATTTTTTTCTTGTTCTTTTAGAGCATGTTCCTTCTTATATATCAGAAAAAAGTTCACTATAATTGTGCCCTATCATGTTTTTAATGAGTCTGTCTTACTTTTTTTTTTTTTGTGGTTCTAGGGACTGAAGCCAGTGCCTTTAAAGCACTGAGGTACATCCTCAGCCTTATTTTATTTTGAGACAGGGTCTCACTAAGTTGTCCAGGATACACTCAAATTTCCTATCTTCCTGCCTCCGCTTTTCACAGTGCTAGGGTTGCAGGCTTGTACTACTACACTCAGTTTACTGTGTCTCTTAATTCCATCAACAGGCCAAATCCAGTGACTGACCTGTACCACCTTGCTCTATGAAAATATCCTCTTGGAGGCTGGAACAACGATGTACCTCTTGGAACACATGCTCATTGTTAAGTGACATGACTGTATGCAGAAGTAACAATCAACATAATTTAGCCATATACAAGGATCAGAGAGATTTGGCCAAAAAGAGGACAAACACATCCTCTGATCCCATGTTAGAACAAAGTTAGTATAGTATGGGAATCTAATCATTTGAGGCATCTTTTGTGTCTCTAACGTTTTTCATCACTCTTCCCTTTTCAACTTTCTACTGAATTATAGATTAATGTATGTGTTTTTTTCTTTCCTTCTAAATGATGAAATGTGTAAAAAGTTGGTCCCTTTACTGTGTACACCCATAGCACTTGGCAATGTACCACAGGGGCAAGATGACAAGTTCTATATCAGTATTTTTAAAAGAAGGAGCCAAATTGAACACAGGCTTAACAACTCTAGTCTAAAAATTCAAAATGCACCAAAATATGCAAACTTGACTGCCTACATGATGCCACAAGTGGAAAATTACAAACTTGATTCCACGTAACTGGTGGCTGTAATAACTCGAGTGAATTAAAATATTGTATAAAACTGCTTTCAGACTACTTGTATGAAAACTTGGGTCTCATGCCCAAGGTACCTCATTAGGTATATGTAAACATTTCAAAATCGGGAAAAATCCAAAATCTGGCAAAGGTGTGATCCCAAACATTTCGGATATGGGAGACTCAGCCTTATTAATCCATATTAAAGATGAGAAAACTAAGGCTCAGAGAAGTTTAACTTGATCAAATCGTTGGAATAAAAACTAGAGTAGCTGGGTCACAGAGTCTGTACATAATTCTATGAGGAGGCCTCGTTCTTAAACAAATCGCAGCTCTCAGGAATCAAGGAGATTGATGAAGTCACAGGCTGACTCTGTGTGGCTTAAAAAAAGGCCTCCTCTTCCCTCTTTGGGTCTCAGCTTCCCCAGCTGTGAAATGGGGGCGTATCCCAGAGCAACTATGACTCTGGTAGTCTGAAATGTGCGGGATGAGAAGCCAGTGGGAATGCGGTGGCTAGTCCTCTCCAAGGCGCTTACCATTTGATAATGTTGTGAACCAAAGGTAAAAAGGAGTAGTTTTCTTCTTCTTTTAAGCAGGCCGGAGACTGAGGCCGCGGCGCAGGTGATTGCTGCGGCTGGGGCGCGGCAACCGGTGGAGGCGGCTGAGGAGGCGGCAGCGGCTTGGTC